TCTATCAGGAGCTCTGGTAGCATAGTGCCTAAGGCACTTGACTGCTAACCAGAAGGCTGGTGGTTCAAACTCACCAGCCACTCCTCGGAAGGAAGGTTGAGCAATCTACTTCCATAGTGACACCACCTTGGAAACCCAAGGAGGGATAGCTATGAGTCGGGTCTGACTCGATGGCACATAACAACAACAACATCTTGCTAAAGTTAAAATAAAACAAAAGCAAAAAAACAAATGAAGTTCAATGATCCAGTTTTGATGTGTGAGTATATTTGTGTGTATTTTTTAAATTATTCATGGTTGAGAGGCAAATGAAGAGCATTAGCCAGGGAAGAAAATGTCTATTTAGTTCTTTTTTTCTTTTTTTTTTTTTTTTCCCCAGAGTGCATGCTATAATATGTACATGATGGCTTCTTTGCTCATTCTCCTTTGCTGGTTCTTCCTCATCTCCCTAATCTCTAAATTCTCTAGTTCATCAGGTCTCAATGGTCTTTTGTCTCTTCTCCTCTCTATATACCTTCTCTTCAGCCCATTGTGATCTCATCAAGTTTCCTGGCTTTAGGTTCATCTTTTATGGCAACAGTTCTCAAATTTATGTTCTCATCGCATATCTCTTCCTCAATGCCAACTAAAATATCCATTTGGATGTTTACCTGACATTTGAATTTAACATTTCCAAAATATAACACTTTTTTTTTTCCCCTCAAACCTGTTATTTTCTCATCTCACTAAATGTTGTTTCCATTCTTTCTGTTACTCAAGTAAACAATACTGGAGTCATCTTGACCTTTTTCATGGTTCTTATACATTCGATTCATCAGAAACTCCTAACTGGTGTATCCAAATCATATGCAGAATCATCCCACTATCACTACTTCGTTTTTAGTTGCAGTCACATTGGGTCTCACTCATGGTGACCCCTTGCATGACAGAACAAAATGTTACCTGGTCATGCACCATCTCCACCACTGTTGGTATGCTCAAGTCCACTGCTGCGGTCACTATCTAATTTCAGTACCTTCTAATCTAGGGAGCTCATTATTAGCACTATATCAGACAATATTCTGTTGTGATCCACACGCTGTTCACTGGATGATTTTCAGAAGGAGATTGCCAGGTCCTTCTTTCTAGTCTGTCTTAGTCTGAAAGCTTCACTGAAATCTGTCCACCATGGTTGACCCTGCTGATGCTTACACAACCAAAGCAATACTCAAGCCACTACAGTATGACAAACTGATAGACAGATGGTCTGTTACTGCTACCCTGGTCTAAACTCAACATTAGCTCTAGGCTGGAAATAGTTGTCATGGCAGCAACTTCCAATAGGTGTCTCTTATTCTGTCCACCCGCTGCTTATCATCTAGTCTACACACAGAAATCAGAATGATGTTATTAAAATTTCCTCAAAGTAAAAGTCCTTACAGTGCTCAGCAAGGCTTTGCATGACATGGCCTGTCCCTATTATCTTTCTATTTCATCTGTGACCATTTTGTTTATTGCTGCATCTTTGGCACCTGGAACAGGACCCAATGGTCAGAAGTATTGCTAGAATGAATGAATGCCTCACTCAAGAGAGAAATTGGCAAACTGACCATGAAATGCTTAGAGATTGGAATTATTCAAAGTCAAATCAAAGAAGCATTTATATTAGAAGCAAGAAGGACACCTAAAGATCATGCAAGTCACCTCATTTCACAGGTTCCGAACTAAGTCTTTGGAAGCTTAAGTGAAGGTTTCAAGGATTTTGCAGCAACCAGTGCTGATGATCTGCTCCATTAATTCTTCCTTCCAGAACTTATTTTCCTTACTTAGATTTTATTTGCAAACATTATTTTATTTATTGTTTATTTTCAGAATTTCTTCTACATCTTCAGCATTTTAATTTCCCGCCTGTGATTAAGCAGTTTAACAATGGTAATTAAGAACACATGTTCTAGAGTGGGTCTCTCTGAATTTATGTCAGCTGCTCTGCTGATTGTGTGACCATGAGCTAACTATTTACTTTGTGCCTCAATTTCTTCATCTGAAAAAGAGGATAACAAAGGCATCTCATGGGATTTATTAAATTAATATGTGTAGGACATCAGCATCAGTATTGGACAGGTAGTAAGAGCTAGATAAATGATGAATATTCTTATTTTGATTGAAAGTATAACTGCTGTTTATGATATTTATGATTCTATGCCCTAGAAGTATGAAAAACATAACAAAATAAAACATTAAAAGAAGGATAGAAGGAAGGAAGAAAAGTAAAAAGAAAAATAGAGAGGAAATGATAGAAGGAGGATAGAACTTATTCAAAGAGGTCACTTAATGCAGTGTGGCTATCACATATCAGCAGATCCATTTAACTTAGATTTCAAAACGTCAAGTCTAAATCTATATAACTTAGTCCATCTACTGCTTTTAGCTGCAGTTTTAAGGCAATGTGATTATTTTAGCCTGTTAAAGGGATAACAGGAATCTGAATCATGCTATTCATAATACCATAAAAATTTGGAAGTTCAAAGGAATTTTAACAAATGAAAAAATTATTTATTAGCAGTTTCAAAATCAGTGGATTTTTATTATCTTTGGCATTGTTTGTTTGTTTATCAATGGGCTACTAGGCATGAAGTGTAAGCAAAAGAAACAATTATGTATTTTTGCTCTCTATTTCTGGCTTCTCACTTAATTCTTCAGCATTGTCCAAAATAAAGTTATGTTTGAGCCTGTTTTCTCTCCATCTCCAGAAAATATTTCTCAAATAGAAAAAAAAAGTCTAAATAAAATAAAATAAATGCAAAAAATAAAAATCTATGTATTATAGAGAAAAATATGAAATAATTATTCTAACAACAAATTTCTAATTTGGTATTTAAACAAACTCTGATTCTCTACCAAATAATTATTGTAGTGGTCTCTTAAATGTAATAATAATTTTACTAAATTATTTTACTAAAATAGTCATAAGATTTAGAAATGTAGTCTTGCACTATTACATGAGAGTGAAATAAAAGTGATCGTGAGAACGAAGAACAAGGGATCAATACATTTGGCTTTCCACAGAAAACACAAAACACACCAAAAATGAATTATGTGGGACTCATCCAAGAACAGAAGGTATGACTGAGAAAAATTCAGAGAAACTTACAGATTTGACTGAATTAAAAAAATAACATTACTTTCTCAGTGGTCATCCAGAATGGAACTGGCGATGAATGTAAAGGCCTAAAAATATGTTAATTATGCAAAAACAAGTATTGTAATTAAATATTAAAGCTATACATCACATTCTGGAGTTTCTTCTAATTAAAAAAAAAAAAAAAAAAACATTAAAGCTAAACATTGTATTCCTGAGTCTCTATACTTTCTGTGACATAAGCATTATCCAGGGGCTGACTGTGCATGTGGCACACTGGACCAGGACCAGAGACAGCATAGAACTGAGAGTTATGGTGGGAAACATAAGACTGGAAGGTCTTCATCTTACAGGTACAGTCCTTGAAGGGTATGTTGATGCTAGGCACAGAAAGGTGCTGAGATAACAAAGTGGCTTGGAGTGCAGGACTGAGAATTGTTTTGCTTGAGGATTTCCACAGACCTCTTTTTTTGCCAAAGGGCATTGGAGAGAAATATAAAAACAGCATTCATTTGCAGCATGCAAAAAAAATCAGAGAATATATTTAAGATGATGATGTAAAGGATTTTCAAACACCATCAGTCATTGGATGATGGAATAATCTCCCAAGGGAGATGTGAAAAATGCCATCATTTAAGACATTTAAAATCAGACTGAAGAAAAATACACAAACACATAAAGTTGGTCTTGTTCTCTTCCTTACATAGGTGGCTAGGGCCACACAAGCATGACCTAAGGCACCATTGTGTTTCACATCCCATAAGCACCTCCAGACCACCCACTAGTGTGAAGGAAGAAAGAGGAAGATTACACTGGAACTGATGACTCACATCAGGATGATTTGCCCAGCATGTTCCTGGCTCAGTTAAAACTTCTCCAGGGTACTAAGGAAAGAGCACTTACCATGGAATCACCACACTCCCATAATGCAGCTCAGAGAAGTTTCCAGAGAATACAGGATGTTCTTCTCCACTCCACCCTACTTTAAATTGGCCTGCATTTTAATTTTTGTTGTTTTAATCAGAAACAACCCTAGCAGAAGACTAGAGTATACAACCAATTTGGAGACAGGTGGACTTAAGACCAGACGTCAACAAATTATATTCCATGGGCAAAATCTGTCCAATTCCCTGCTTTTGTAGCCATTTTGTATGACAATGGCAGAGTTGACTAGTCATGACAAAAACTGCATGGCTCCAAAATCTAACATATTTACTATCCAAGCCTTTACTAAGGCCAATTCTTGCCTTAGACTAATAACTCTGAAAATGCTAACTCAAGCATCGCCAAGGTAATATATGTAAGACTGTTGTCTTCTTTTCCCTTTTTCTTCTATGGAATAGAGAAGAATAATTTAAATTTGAATTGAATATACCAACTTGCCATGAATTCAGTCCAAGACATCACATGCTAGAAACTGGAGCACATATGTTACACCGAAAATAGTGTTGTTGTGAAGAGTAGAAGCAGTAGAATCAGAAAGACCTGAGTCTGAATCCCAGATTTGCCATTTACCACCTGTTTGGTCTTTGACAAGTTATGTCACTTTTCTAATCTTCACCTTTCTCCTTTCACCTTGAAATAAAATTAAAATGTTACCTAGTCCATAGGGCTCATGTGTGGATGAATAGCTTCCATAAAGATTGACAGCCTTGGAAACTCTATGAGGTAGTTCTACACTGTCCTAAAGGGTCGCTATCAGTCAGAACTGACTTGATGGCAACAAGTTTTGAAACGCGTAGCATTGTGCCTGGTACAATAGGAGTACTTGAAATATTACCAAGCTTTATTATCAAAGATTAAAACTCAAGGAGATTGACTTTCTTTCTTAGAGTGAATATGAAGCTGATAAAATGTAAATGCATTGCTTGTTAAGCATTACCTGCACAGTTTTTTCCAGGATCTCCACAGAGAAGGTCTTCAGTTTCAGGACTTCTTGTGGAGTTTCCATATGCCACACCACAGTGGAGGATCACTAGACCTTTAAGTTCAAAACAGAATCAACACAAACATGAATACTTAAAAATTTGCTGAAGGAGAATATTCTATCAAAAGCATGACCCATCTTCAACTCATTCTGCCATAGCAAGTGAGAGGTAGACAGCCAAGCATGTTCCCATCATTGTTTCAGCTCAGCACTAAGAATTCTCAAGCCAGTACCATTTATGTCTAATTGATCCAGTAGAATTCTTGGCTTTCATGTGGGAGACATGCAGGCTGGGTTCAATGGCCGGACAAGCACCTCATGTGCAGCCACTACGTGCCTGTCAGGGGAGACTTGTGTGTTGCTACTTTGTTAAACAGGTTTCAGCAGAGCACCAGACTAAGAGGAAGAGAGGCCTGGTAATCTACTTCTGAGAATAAACCAATGAGAACCTTATGGATCACAGATCATAGGGATGGCACTGGACCAGACAGTATTTTGCTCTATTGCACATGGGGTCACCATGACTTGGGGCCAATTCAATGGCAAATAACAACAACAACAACAACATGCAACTTAAATGAGGAGACTTGGCAATAGCCTGTAATGAAGCCTTGTCATAAAAGCAGACTATGAAGTAAGACTGAGTTCTTAGCTGATGGATGTATTGTGGTTGTTATTGTTGTTAGGTGGCATCAAGTCAGCTCTGACTCATAGCAACCCTATGTACAACAGAATGAAACACTGCCCAGTCATGTGCCATCCTCCCAATCCTTGCTATACCTCAGCTCATTGTTACAGCCACTGTATCAATCCATCTTGTTGAGGGTCTTCCCCATTTTTGCTGACCTTCCATTTAACCAAACATGATATTCTTCTCCAGGGATGTTTCTGTCTGAAAACCTGACCAAAGTAGGTGAGATGAAGTCTGGTCATTCTCGCTTCCATGGAGCACTCCAGCTGTACTTCTCCCAGGACAGATTTGTTTGTTCTTCTGGCAACCCATGGTATTTTCAGTATTCTTCACCAACACCATGATTCAAAGGCATCAACTCTTCTTCGGTCTTCCTTATTCATTGTCCAGCTTTCACATGCATATGAGGAGATTGAAAATACTATGGCTTGGGTTAGGTGTACCTTAGTCTTTAAAGTAACATCTTCGCTCTTTAATTCTTTAAAGATGTCTTTTGCAGTATGGATGCATGAATGTATACAAAGGTGAATTTCCAGAGAGAATGGATGATGAACTCACACCCCAATACACTTTCCTCCACACAGACTCAGTGTTTCCCAATTATTAACTGTTGAATGTGTCTTCTGGGCACGTGAAAACTAGATATTAGATCCATGGGAATTATTTTAACATTGCTGGTTTCTCCAAATAAGTATCTCTGACTCTAAGAGGGATATGTCTCATGGGGGGTAGTGAGGGAAAGAAGTATTGTTGTTATTAGAATGGTTTTGAATGAAATGTGTCATCTTTGTATGGATCCCGATTCAAACAAATACACTACATTTATGAGGTATCAGGAAATTTGACACTTACTGGGTGTTCTGGTTATCTAGTACCGCTCTGACAAAAGTATACCACAAATGGGATGGCTTAAACAAATAGGAGTTTATTCTTACAATTTGGAGGCTTTAAGTCCAAGTTCAAAGTGTCAGATTCTAGGGGCTGAGTGAAAGCCCCTCAACCTTGGGGTTCAGCTCTGCCTCCTGCTCCTGGCCCACTGGAGGTAGAGACATTTCTACTCAGACAGCTGCAGGCTGCTGAGGCTGAGATTCCCAAAGGTTGACAAGTAAAAATGGCACAGTCCTGATGTTACCAAACCACATCACAGGCCATTAACTTAAGTCCATTGTATGTCCCAAGGTCGGCAGAGCATAACAGGCTGCTGAGCAATGACATGGCTACACACAGGGTCCAAGCATGCCACAGGCTAGAGACCATTCCCAAGGTTTCTCCTTATATACAGGAAGCAGACCACATCTCAAAGGCAGCTACTCAGTTGCTTGTGGTAGATCCCACCATGGAGTTTATTGCCAGTCTCATCATGGGGAATAACTACCACTAGCTGCCCAGCCATTCAACCAGGCCCAACCAAGTTGTCACCCAAATATAACCACCACACTGGGCATTAGAAGATATTAAGGAATTGTTATAGAAATTTTAAAGTCTGATTATGATAGTGTGGATTAAGTTACAAAAAGAATCCACACCTCTTATAGAAATATATTGAAATATTTATTAATGAAATCAAGGTATCTGAGATTTATTTTAAAATAATCTCACAACAGAATGAGGGTTCAAATAGTGAGGGAAAGGTCTAGATGAAACAAGTTTGGCCTCCTGCCAATAATTGTTAAAACTGAGTGGTGGGTATGTCTGCTTCATTATACTGTTCTCTCTACTTTCTGTATGTTTGAAAATGTCAATAAGAAAAAGCTAAAAAGACAAAAAAAAAAAAAAATAGACAAGGAAATGAAAAGAAAGAAGAAGCAAGGCAAGGGGACATGTCTTTGAGGTTAGCCAATTCTGAGGAGAAAAGAGCCCTGATGACACAATGGTGAAGTAATTGGGTTACTCACCAGCAGCTACATGGGAGAGAGACCTGGCAATCTGTTCCTGTTAAGGTCGTAGCCTAGAAAGCCTTATGCAGCAGTTCTGCTTCATCACTTGGGGTAACTATGAGTCAAAAACAGACTGACAGCACCTAACAACAGTTCTGAGGTGAGGAAAGGTGCGGCAGCATAACATGGCTTTGAGATTAGCTAGTTCTAAGATCAAGACCTGTTTTTGCCACTTACAGTCTCCATTTTCTCATTAGCAAAATGCAGAAAATTATAGGCTCTACTTCAGAGTATTGTTGCAAGGATTCAACCAGATAAGTATGCAAAATGCTTACCACAGTGCCTGGCGATGTTCAATAAAAATGACTCATTATTATGAAACAGACAGGAATAGAATAACTTGTCTACTGACTGTATTGAAATTTATACATGCAGTCAATGATGCCAAAACTACATGTGTTCTCCAATCCTATTCAGTTCAATGAACCTTATGAACATCCAGGAACACACAGGTGAATATGACATGCTTGATCTTCAAGTCATTCCAAAGCTCCTAAAGCAGGAAATCATCCAATCAATTAACAATAACTCAAAGTGATAGTACTGTACCAGAAATCAATAGGTAGCTAGCAAGTCTAAAGGTCAAAAGAATTTTCCAAAAAGGTCTTTACAAAGAGAGATACTTTTCTGCCTATAAGATCAGAATATATATATGCATGAAAGAAAGAGGTGCTGCATTGTGTTGGAACAATGAAGATCAATGGACACTTAAATCCACTTATGGTGAGTAAATTAAAAATTCTGTCCTGGAGGACAATTTAGCACTTTGAAAAAAGCAACTTAAAAAAAAAAAAAAGTGTGAACACTTAAATTCAGTAATTATATTTCTAGTAATTTTTCCAAAGGAAACAATTCAGGATACATGAAAAGAATTAGCTATAAAAATGCTCAATATGGAATGGATTATAATAATAATAAATTAGAAATTACCTAAGTGTCTAACAATAGAAGATTGAGTAACCACATTGAACTATCATCATGCAAAAGAGCCCCAGTGATGCAGAGTTAAGCGCTTCCTTGCTAACCAAAAGGTCAGCAGTTCAAACTGCCCAGCATACATGCAGGAGAAAGATGTGGCAGTATACTTTTGTAAAGATTATATAGCCTTGGAAACCTGTGAGGTAGTTCTACTCTGCTCTGTAGAGTCGCTATGAGTCTGAATTAACTTGACGGCAACAGGTTGGTTTGTTTGTTTTATCATCATACAATAGAATGCTATATAGTCATAAAAGAAAAAGATGAAGAAACACTAATAGAACATTTCAATATATTCTCAAATAAGAGAAGCAGGCTATGATAGAAATTTAGTGTGATGTGTGTGTGTGTGTGCATGCATGTGTGTGTGCTCAAGCATTTGTCTGATATGTATATGAAACCAGCTAAATAGATTTGTTTGCTGTTGTTAGGTGTTGTCATCTTGATTCCAACTCATAGCTACCCTATGTACAATAGAACAAAACAATGCTGGGTCCTGTGCCATGTTCAAAATTTTTGCTATTCTTGAGGCCATAGTTGTAGCCACTATATCAATCCATCTCACTGAAGACCATCTTCTTTTTTGCTGACCTTTTGCCAAACATAGTGTCATTTTCCATGTGTCCAAAGCCCATGAGACGAAGTCTCACCATCCTTGCTTCTAAGGAGCCTTCTGCTGTACTTCTTCCAAGATATATTTGTTCATTCTTCTGGTATTCCATGGTATATTCAATACTCTTCACTAACACCACAATTGGGAGCTCTGGTAGCATAGTGGCTAAGACACTTGCCTGCTAACCAGA